CCCTCCCCCACCTCTAATGTCATTAACTCACTGGCATTCACCTTCCTTCCCCCCCCCTCCTGCATCCCCCTTCTGTTCTGAAATTTGATTTGTCCTTTTCATATGTGTTCATTTTTTTAAATTGTATCTTTTGGTATATATGGTTGTGACTATTTTCTTCCACTATTTGATCTGAGGAAGTGGGTCTGGCCCACGAAAGCTCATCATCTAATAAACCATCTTGTTAGTCTTTAAAGTGCTACATAGTCCTGTATTTTGTTTCAGCTACACCAGACTAACACGGCTACATTTCTATCGCTTTCCTTAGGGAAGTCTACAGTACAGGGAAAAGTTGATCGAAACTACATAATTTTCAGTTACATTAGAAGCATAACTCAAATTGACATGATCTATTTACTACAAGGTCCACATTATGCTGGGTCGATGGGAGAAACTATCCCCTTGACTCCCCTTAGTCTTCTTGTTCTGGTGGAGTACTAGAGATGACGGGAGAGCAATCGAGGTCAACTTAGCAGGTCTTCATTTGACCTGCTAGATCAACCCCTGATGGACTGATTGTCACAGTGTGAATACAGCTGGTAGTAGAGATAAGCAGGTCCTGCAAGCAGATCCTTGAATCAAGCCATATTTATTCAAGTGAAGAGGCATACAATCTAAACGTATGTTAAATGAAACAGCAATACCTATTGTGTTTACTTATTTTGTGATGTCAAGAGGTTCTACAAATTTACATAAATGACACTGTAAACTGGCTTCATGATATACTGATATTTGGTAGCAATATACCTATCTCTGAGGGAAACCTTTAAAGAATGAATAAAACAAAACTATTACCTAAATGCTGATTTATTTTTGTTGTCTGTGTTTCTTTCTTCTTCATCACTATGATCAGAGAATTGGCAGTGAAGGACTTCATCTTGATCTTCTATATGACCCAATATCATTTGCCTGCGAGTTTGAAATCCAGCCATTACTCGGGCCAATGAGTAAGTAGGAGGACTGGTGTGCACCTTCCAAGAGACCCCAAAAATAAAGCCACGGGCAAAGTCACTTGCAGAAATCTAGGAATATGTAGGGCTAATCTTTTTTACATAGAATTCATACACAAATCTGCTAAAACCTGCACTTGCATGCAAAAATATGAGGGAGGGTGCACAAGTTTTCTGATTTCTTTTGGAGCAGTATTTGGAGATACCTTTGATAAGTTGGTTCCAGAATAGGATACTGACAAGTCAGTACATAACACTCTTTACTATGAATTAATGCAGAATAAATATATCATTATTAGCAATATTTGTATTTTAGTAGCACCTAAAGGCCCACTTTGTATTATAAGTTAATACAAATACCTTTGCATTGGATAAATGGTTGCTATGCATATACAGTGCAATAGATCAGAAATTAAGATTTCACACTCTTTAATGGGATATAAACAGAAACTATGGAAATGCAACTGTTAATATCTCCTTTCAACTCTTGTACAAAAATCAGAATAATTACAAAATGAAGGAGAGAAATAAAAAAATGTGTTTAGTTATTACCTTTCGTGACTCTAGTCCTGGAGCCATATGAATGGAATGTACTACACTATAAGTGAGTGGCACACTATATGGTCTTCTTGCAGATAACACAGCTGGCCCATCTCCACAAGCACCTATCGATACTGAGGTTGAAGTCACAGTAAGCTTCTCTGACTTATCCTTCAGCTGATCAATAAGGAGTTGCTGTTCCACCATTTTCTCATTCTCAAAAAACAAAAACAAAAAATCCCCACTGTTGTTAGGTACCAATTCTACATTATATTTGTATTACTATAACAAAACGCATACTAGTATGAATGGTAAGCTGTTAGGCAAAGTGTTGTGTTTCGTGTAGCTGAAAATTGAGCCTAAATTCTTTTGCAAGGCCTAAGTTTATACAATGCACCAATGCTAACTTTAAAGAAAAAGCCCAATGGGAGCATTAGCTGACTGCAAGATCTTCCAATTCTAAAACATTTCATTTAAATGGAATTAATCTAAAATATGCACCACATAAAGAACAAGCTTTTAAGAGGTTTGTTAAAAACATGTCATTATCCCTTTTAGAAAGGCACATATCAGGCATGTTATTTAAGAAGATTAGAGCTGGAAGGGATACGTTTGAGTCCAAAGTTGCTTTATTAATACATAATTGTAAAAGAACAAAAGATGAGACAGCCAAAACTGATATTCAAAATGGAAGTTACAACCTTAGAGCCTGATCCTAAAGCATGGTGAGTATGTTTACTTGCCAAGAAGTTCCATTCAAGTAAATGAAACTACCTCTATAAATAAAGGTGCACACATAAATATTTGCATGATCAGGACTTCAGTTTGATCACATCTCTTGTATCACGTCTCTGCCTCACACAACTCTGCTAGTGGTGCTAGTCTGGTGAACCTACTTATCTGCCTTTTCCATAATAATCTTCGTGCAATGTTAAAGCTGCTCCTTATTCAGGGAACATCATCTCTGAACTGATCCATAAAGTAATTACCTGACCTTTCTTCAAATCCCTCACCAAAATCCACATCTTTCATAACACCTACAAAAACTGGTTAAATAACAGTGGAAAAGTTAATATGACAGTCAATATGAAGATATTTAGTTATAAAACATATATATGATTGTCCAGTTTTGATCATATCTTTCTTACTCAGCTGAGTCTGAGCCTTTCCCTGCTGCCCGTCCTTTAAGAACATAAGAACGGCCATACTGGGTCAGACCAAAGGTCCATCTAGCCCAGTATCATGTCTACCGACAATGGCCAGCACCAGGTGCCCCAGAGAGGGTGGACCGAAGACAATGATCAAGCGATTTGTCTCCTGCCATCCCTCTCCAGCCTCTGACAAACAGAGGCCAAGGACACCATTTTATCCCCTGGCTAATAGCCTTTTATGGACCTAACCTCCATGAAATTATCTAGCTTCTCTTTAAACTCTATTATAGTCCTAGCCTTCACAGCCTCCTCTGGCAAGGAGTTGCACAGGTTGACTACACGCTGTGTGAAGAAGAACTTTCTTTTATTAGTTTTAAACCTGCTACCCATTAATTTCATTTGGTATCCTCTAGTTCTTCTATTATGGGAACTAATAAATAACTTTTCTTTATCGGCCCTCTCCACACCACTCATGATTTTATAGACCTCTATCATATCCCCCCTCAGTCTCCTCTTTTCTAAACTGAAAAGTCCCAGTCGCTTTAACCTCTCCTCATATGGGACCCATTCCAAACCCCTAATCATTTTAGTTGCCCTTTTCTGAACCCTTTCCAAGGCCAAAATATCTTTTTTGAGGTGAGGAGACCACATCTGTACACAGTATTCAAGATGTGGGCGTACCATAGTTTTATACAGGGGCAGTAAGATATTCTGGGTCTTATTTTCTATCCCTTTCCTAATAATTCCTAGCATCCTATTTGCCTTTTTGACCACCACTGCACACTGTGTGGAAGTTTTCAGAGAACTGTCCACGATAACTCCAAGATCTCTTTCCTGATTTGTCGTAGCCAAATTAGCCCCCATCATACTGTACGTATAGTTGGGGTTATTTTTCCCGATGTGCATTACTTTACACTTATCCACATTAAATTTCATTTGCCATTTTGTTGCCCAATCACTCAGTTTGGTGAGATCTTCTTGGAGTCCCTCACAGTCTGCTTCTGTCTTGACTATCCTAAACAGTTTGGTATCATCTGCAAACTTTACTACCTCACTGCTTACCCCTTTCTCCAGATCATTTATGAATAAGTTGAAAAGGATTGGTCCCAGGACTGACCCTTGGGGTACACCACTAGTTACCCCTCTCCAATCTGAAAATTTACCATTTATTCCTACCCTTTGTTTCCTGTCTTTTAACCAGTTCTCAATCCAAGAAAGGACCTTCCCTCTTATCCCATGGCCATGTAATTTACACAAGAGCCTTTGGTGAGGGACCTTGTCAAAGGCTTTCTGAAAATCCAAGTATACTATATCTACTGGATCCCCCTTGTCCGCATGTTTGTTAACCCCTTCAAAGAACTCTAATAGATTAGTAAGACAGGATTTCCCTTTACAGAAACCATGTTGACTTTTGTCCAACAAATTATGTTCTTCTACATGCTTCACAATTTTATTCTTTACTATTGTTTCGACTAATTTGCCCGGTACTGAAGTTAGACTTACCGGTCTGTAATTGCCAGGATCGCCTCTAGAGCCCCTTTTAAATATTGGTGTCACGTTGGCTACCTTCCAGTCATTAGGTACAGAAGCTGATTTAAAGGATAGGTTACAAACCACAGATAATAGCTCAGCAATTTCCCATTTAAGTTCTTTTAGAACCCTTGGATGAATGCCATCCGGTCCCAGAGATTTGTTAACATTAAGTTTTTCTATTTGTTCCAAAACCTCCTCTAATGACACTTCAATCCGGGACAGTTCCTCAGATTCATCACCCACAAAGGACGGTGCAGATTCAGGAATCTCCCCAACATCCTCAGCCGTGAAGACTGAAGCAAAGAAATCATTTAGTTTCTCCGCAATGCCTTTATCGTCCTTGATTGCTCCTTTTATAGCTCGATCATCTAGGGGACCCACAGGTGTTTTAGCAGGCTTTTTTGAGTTTTTGGCTAGCTGTTCCTCAAAATCTTTTTTTGCTTTTCTTATTAGCTGTTTACACTTGATTTGACAGTGTTTATGTTCCTTTCTATTTATCTCACTAGGATTGGACTTCCACTTCTTAAAAGATACCTTTTTGTCCCTCACTGCTTCTTTTACATGGTGGTTAAGCCACGGTGACTCTTTTGCCAAAGACTTTCCCTGCTTTTGGAGTCTTCACCTGCAGAGGGGGAAAGCTCCAGCAGTTGGGAACTTCTCTGTCCCCTCCCCAACCAGAGTCTTTTTCTGGAGTGGGAAAATGCCCCAGCAGTGGAAGGCAGCAGGACATTACACAGGAAAAAAATAAGAATGTAGATGGAAAAGCCTGGGTTGGGTAGGCAGAGGCTCACTGGCTTGGGTAGGCTTACGCAAGTCATGGCTCACTGTCTTCTGTTACTTAAACCCATGCTGGGCAGAGGGATACCCAAGCACACACGCTATGTGCTGCCAAAAGAAGCATGCAGCACAGATGTATCCATGGACATCTGTGGCCTCCTCATGCTGCCTATGTGTGAGCAGGGGGGTCACAATGGAGACAATCTCCCTCCTCTTACTTCTAGGCTGCATCTAGACTGGCAAGTTTTTCCGCAAAAGTAGCTTCTTTTGCGGAAAAACTTGCCAGCTGTCTACACTGGCCGCCTGAATTTGCGCAAGAACACTGACGATCTAATGTAAGATTGTCAGTGTTCTTCTGCAAATACTATGCTGCTCCCGTTTGGGAAAAAAAGCCGTCTTGTGCAAATGTATTTGCGCAAGAGGGCCAGTGTAGACAGCTAAAAACTGTTTTGCGCAAAAAAGCCCCGATGGCGAAAATGGCGATCAGGGCTTTCTTGCACAAAACCGCGTCTAGATTGGCACAGACGCTTTTCCACAAAAAGTGCTTTTGCGCAAAAGCGTCCAAGCCAATCTAGACGCTCTTTTCCACAAATGCTTTTAACAGAAAAACTTTTCCGTTAAAAGCATTTGCAGAAAATCATGCCAGTCTAGACGTAGCCCACAGGAGCCAGGAGAAGCAGCTGCAAGGGGATTCAGACCCTGATTCTCTACAATGAAGCGGTCTCAGTATAGCTGGAATCTTTGAGTTATTTAGTGCAAAATGCTTTACAAGTTTCTACTGATGATATGCAAACTGACAATTTTCAAAGCATTAAAAACTGGCTAGATTTGAATGTTTTTAGATAGGAACAACAGGGCAATCCCATAAAAACAGCCATACCAAAACATCAGCCCAAAGGTCCACCTAGCCCAGTAACCTGTCTGCTGACAGTGACCAATACCAGATGCCTCTGAGGGAGGAAACACAACAGGTAATCATCACGTGAATCTTCTCCTGTCACCCATTTCCAGACAAACAGAAGCTAGGGACACCATTCCTACCCATACTGGCTAATAGCCATTGATGGACCTAATCTCCATGAAACTATCTAGCTCTTTTCTGAACCTTATTAAAGTCCCATGCCAAATTCAAGTCCCTGCTCCTAAATACACTAGCAGTAGAGCTTCTCAGCTAAACGTTTGTAAGAATTTCTATTAATACAGAAAAAGAATACATTTTCCCCTAACAACATTCTCAAAAATGACTGAAATATTTCAGTTGAAATTTAAAGCAAGCAAGCAAGCCAGCCAGCCAGTCTTAAGCAGACACCCAACATGGAAAAATGTAGCCCAAACATTTGGTTTGCAAAGTCTATAAGCCATTGAAAATAGGGGTTTATAATGGGAAGTGTCAAATAAAATTTAGTTGTATAATATATGATATCTGCATATAATACCATGTGTATAAAGTGCAATTTACTTTTACATTTCTAATCTAATTTTAAGTATTAATCAAATAACACATTACTGTGACAGCCATAAAAAACTATTTGTTTTGGAGATTTGATTATTTTTAATAGAAAGGCATGGCTTAGTGAACTTTAAAGTTTGCTAGGAACTTCCAAATTTTAACCTGGGTCTGCCACTGAGTTGATGTATTACTAAGGCAAACCTCTTAACATCTCTTATCTTCACTGAAAACAAGTATGAAAACAAGTATCCAACAAAATGGATTTTACACTGAGATAGTTATATCAGCGTTTAATCCAGGGGGAGACAAGTGTAGCTAGCCAAGATAAAAACTACCTGTGCCTTGCCAGAAATTGCAGAAAGGGAAGAGAAGGAACAAGAGAGGAAGATGATGATAGATAATTGGCATATTCTCTTTTAATGTCATATCATTCAGTGACCTGCTCGTAGGACATCAGCAGAGGTAGAAAGAAAAGGAAGATAGGACAGGATAAAGATTGAAAAGGGAGTGTGAGGAGAACAGCACAGACTATCCCATACTTAAAATATGTACTCTTTATGTTCTTTATATGTTTTAGAGAATGGTAATAGTTGTAGATCTTATGAGACAGTTTTAGGAGAAATATACTGAATGTTCCATTTGTGATGTGATGGACCTCTGGCTACGAGAGATGTTAAAGTGTAACCATGCACATGATTAACCGATGAGCACAGGCTCATTGGTTAACATTCACAGTCACAAGTAGCTTCCCTTCCTGCACGTAACTTTTGAAAATGTCAGCGTTTACACCATTACTTAAACACATTTTAACATCCCTACTGGCTACTAGGCAATTGACTTAAACCCATCACAATTCTTTTATCAAGAAATGCTCCGAACAGAGAGGCAAGTAGTATCTTTACTATGCTACTCTGATTCCTGTGTTACAAATCTTCCTATAAATTTGGGCTGAAATCTTGTCCCATTGACAAAGCTCCCATTAATTTCAGCAACTTTAGTGGCACCAAGATTTCACCTCTGAACTTTTTGGCATGGGCGGTCAGTGCAGCTGGGGCTGGGGGAGGCAGGCCCCCAGCACCACCTACAACCCTGCCCCCTCTGCTGAGGCATCACCCCCACCACAGGGAGGGGAGGAGGTGGGACAGTGTACCCTCTCCCACCATGGGGAGGGGAAGAGCACACACACCTCAGCCTCCCCGGAGCACTTGGGAGGGAGAAGGCCACACAGCCTGAGCTAGCCCAAACCTCCCCAGAGCACCGAGGAGGGAGGAGGCCATATGGCCCAAGCCAGTCCAAGGCGGCCTGAGCCTCTCTGTCTCCCAGGGAGAGATGCGGCCACACAGCCGGAGCCTCCCTGGCATGGGGAGGGCAGGCGGTACACATCTCCAGCTTCCACAGCCTAGAGCAGCAGGGAGGGCGGGTGCTGGGGGCAGCAACACTCTGCCCCCAGAATGCCTACAACAGGTGTTCTGGGGGCGGAGTGTGGGCAGGACCATGTCTGGCAGTTTAGGAAGGCAAAGCCTTCCCCTACGTAGCATACCGGATGCCCATGCTTTTTGGAATTATATACAATAAACATTTCTATAACCCCTTTCACCCCAAGATCTCAAAAGGCTCTATGAATATTAAAGAATTAAGAGCCACTACTCACCCATAATGTTGGCAAATATCAGTGCATTTGCTTTATGAATGGGACAGGAAAAAAATGAAGTTATTCACCTAAGGTTATGCAGCAAGTCTGGTAGAGCTAGGCTAGAATACAGGATCTCTTGATTCTCCAGTCCTGTATTTTAGCCACTAGATAAAACTAGACAAATATAATTTTCTTATAATTGGTCACAGTTATGGAATCTAAAGCATAAATTGTAGTCTTGTAGCAATGGAATTTGAATTTCGTAATTAATAATTCAGTTATAATAAATGTATGTTATAGCAAAAGTTTGGATTAAACTTAAATACAAGATGCAGGCCTCAGTCAGGCACCTTTGTTAACTTAGCTCCAGCTCTGTTTGATGTTAACATATTAAAGTGGAGAGATGGAATATTGTAATACATAGTAATGTTAGTATTAGGCAAGGCCTTGTAGTAGATAGAAAGAAGTTTAATGTTGAAAGACTTTGTAACTTTGTTAAAATGACTAGATGGACCCATTGTTCCATGCAGCAATTCTTTAAATGCATTGTTTGTGCACTGCATGCTCAAATGGTCAGAGGAGGGGCTGGAGCCCCTCAGAAGCACACTGAAGACACAGACTACCAGAGACTGATGAACCCTGAAGCTAGTGGCAAGTTCCCCTTGATAGGGAACCAATCAAAACTTTTGCTGGAAAGACAACACCCAGGAGGGGTCGTCAGCATACTGATATCAGATGACTGTGAGAACAACTTCTTCCCAATAACCATATGTCGTAGGAAGATTGATTGTGATGCTGAATGACTGATTAAGGCCTGACAAGGCAAAATGCATAGACCTGCATGGAAGGAAAAGCCTATAAAAGATAGGGTGTCTTGTATAGTTCTTCGTGTTCTATCCTGCTAAGCAAGACCAAGAGGAGACTCCTGGCTCCCTCCCTTGCACCTGACCTATCTGGTCAATACGTTGGGCTGAGCCACACACTGGTAACTATTCCATCAGCAGGATTTTTGTGTGTGCGAGAGAGAGAGAGAGAGAGAGAGAGACTTTGTTTTATTATCAATAAATGTCAATAAATGCGGCGTGTTGCCTTATCCCCCTGAAAAAACCCCCCACATGCTTCTTTTAAGCGTAACAGTCTGAGTTAAAATTCTCATCGACAAAAAAATAACTTTTGCCTGAGGGCTGCAAAATTTGCCCCAAATTTTAACCACAGTAATTCCTGCATTCTAATATACATTTTATTTGAACCAAACTTACACAGTAAAATATGCACGGGGAAAACTTACCTGTAATGTATTTGTTTCTTGCGCCTCTTTTAGAGATTCTAAATGTTCTTGGTTTTCCCGCATCAATGTCAGTATTTGATCCTGTAATACCTTCATCTCAAGCTCCTTTTGACCAAATACTTGTTCATCTGTAGCTAAAGCCTGCTAGATAACAAAAAGGAGATGGGGGTAGGAAAGGTGTTATTTTTACTGCTGAATAATGAAGAGATTCTTCATTTGTTATTAAGAAAAGCAGATATGAACTGCAGAGTTTCCCTAGGTATACCGTTGGAAGATTCTCCACAAATGATGTGCTGATTCTAGTACGTCTTCACAACACAGTATCCCTAATTATTTCTTCAGTTTTATTCACCATCTGTTGATTTTTTTTAATAAGTTCCTGGGTCCTACCACACCCGTCCCAGGAAAAAGCAGTAGAGGCCATATGAGTTGCACAGACAGCCTGCATGGAACACAGACAGTCAGTCAGGGGAGACTGCAAGGGACTAGCCAATCAGTATAAAAGGAGGGCAGTGCAGACTAGCCAGTTCCTTGCTGGAGCCAGAGAAGTGCAGTGGCACTCCTGGCTGGTCAAAGGGAAATGGGCTGTGAAAAGGAGCTCCAGGCTAGCTACCGGGCCTGAACATAGAAGAGCCCTCAAGAAAAGGTGAAGGATTGATGAATGCTGGGGCTGTGGGGAAGTGGTACAGGGAATGAAAATGCTTTTGTTAAAGGGACATAGTGGTGCGTGACTGCTATTCTGAGGGTCCCTGGGCTGGAAATGGAGTAGTGGGTTGGCCTTGGTCCCCTAATAAGTCACTGGGGAAATGGCCTAGAATTGGACAATGACAAACCCCTAGAAGGAGATCTGATCTACTTAGAAACCCGGAGAGAGCAAAGCCATTGCCTCCCGGAAGTGCTGGAAGTCCGGCCCAGGACCAGATTTACAATGAAACATACCGTGCCCTGGCATGGCTCCCCCACCCAGCCACAGGAGGCTCCCAAGGCCAGGCAGTCCAGCCAGGTTTAGAAACCCTCCTGCGCAGGGGGGTGGCCATTTTGTGACGGGGGGGCCATCCCTCC